GCTACATCACCAGACCCCAGAAAAGTTAGGTATTCTAATTAGTAACCAGCAATCAGCTAAACCTAACACAAAGATCTGGTTCTTCCAGCAATTGTGTAACATCCGGTTATGGTTTTGTAACACAAGAATATATTTTATTTTTGGGTTGTAACACAAGAATATATTTTATTGTGTGGGAAACCTAGGTGGAGATTTTTGAATACATAAATATTTAATGAAGCTGTATGCCAGCCCCCAAAAATAATTTTGTAACTGTTTTTAAGTTGTAAAAAAAAGATGGATTGTGGATATATGTTTATAAATAGATGCCTGTACCTTAAAAGTCCCAAAAAACCTTTTTCTATGTTTTTTTCCATGATCAATAACCACTATGCAGCAGACATTCCCAAAACACCTGCCTAAAAGATTAATTACAAATATAATATGTGATAAAATATAGGGAAGCTCTAAATAGTATTGTGATTGTAAAGTCTAAAAGTGTAACACAATTTTGAGCAAAATAGTTTGGAGCATGAAAGTTAATCTTGGGTAAAAAAAAAAAATTGAAAATGCTTTTTCTCTTTATCTCATCATGCATTTTCTTCTTCAATATTTTTATTGGATTAGTATACTACATGGTTCTAAAGGTACAGAACAATGGCAATACAAAATACCAGAGTAGTGGGCCAGCATGCATTGAAGCACTGACATTGGCAACAGACTGAGAACAGCAGAAAAAAACAGTAAAAACTGTCATGTGGAACTTTGATTGAACAGGATGGTAGCAGTGGAGAGGAGACAAGGGGCAAAAGGCAGTGACATGTGGACCATGTGTGCAAGGCTGATAGTATTCTACCGAATCAGGTTTGTCGAGAAGTTGGAGTTAGAGGATAAAACAAGATTGACACAATTCGCAGGGACATCGCCGCTGCTCAGACTTCCACCCCACCTATCACCTCTCACGCGGTAACCCCCTCAACACCCCTCTCCCTTGGCCTAACCATGGTCCAGACCTCCACCCCACCTAACATCCCTCACACTGAAGCCCACTCAACACCCCACTCCTTCGACCTTACTACCACTGAGGAGGTCACTAAGGTCTTCTCTGAAGCCCGCCTCACCACCTGCCCCCTCGACCCTGTCCCCTCACAACTCCTATGATCTCCCTCCTCCTCTATCCTGTGCTCCCTCACCCACATCTTTAATCTCTCCCTCTCTTCTAGTGCATTCCCCTCCCCTCTGAAGCACGCGCACATCACTCCCATACTTAAAAACCGACCCGAACAACCTTAGACCCATCTCCCTGCTGAAATTTACATCCATATATATATCCTTATAATCGCCTAAGCTCTCACCTCAACAACAACAACCTCCTCGACCCCCTACAGCCCTGCTTCCGTCCCCTACACTCCACCGAAACTGCCTTACTCAAACTCACCAATGACCTGCTAACCGCCAAAGCTAATGGCCACTACTCAGTGCTCCTACTCCTCAACCTCTCCACGGCTTTCAACACAGTCGACCACCCCCTCCTCCTCAAAAAACTACACTCCCTTGGCCTCAGAGACTCCGCTCTCTCCTGGCTCTCGTCCTACCTATCACAACGCTCATTCAGCGTTACCTATAACGCTACCACCTCCCCCTAACTCCCCCTCTCTGTTCGGGTTCCTCAAGGCTTTGTCCTCGGGCCCCTTCTCTTCTCCATCTGCACCTCCTACTTTGGCCAACTGATACACTGTCAGAGCTTCAACTACCACCTCTATGCCAACGACACGCAAATCTATCTCTCGACCCCTCGCCTCACCCCTTCAGTCTCCGTCCGAATCACTAGCCTACTGAAGATCAGATTGGATGTCGCTCCACTTCCTTAAACTAAACCTCTATAAAAACCGAGCTCCTAGTTTTCTCCCCAGTCCGTGCACCCCGCCCCCCCCCCCCCCCACGACTTCTCCATCACGTCCAATAATACCACCATCAGGCCCACCCCGCAAGCCAGAGTACTTGGTGTCATTGTAGACTCCAATCTATCCTTCCAGACCCAAGTCCAATCGCTAACAAACTCATGCAGACTCCACCTCTGCAACATCTTCAAAATACGCCCATTCCTAACCCCAGAAACTACTAAGCAACTCATCCACTCCCTCATCATATCACGACTCAATTACTGCAACTGCCTCCTCACTGGCCTGCCTCACCTCAGGCTATCCCCGCTTCAGTCCATCCTGAATACGGCGGCCAGACTCATTCACCTTACCAACCGCTCCGTTTCCGCCACCCTCCTCTGCCAATCCCTCCACTGTCTTCCGACTGCCCAACGGATCAAATTCAAAATGCTAACACTGACGTATAAAGCTGTCCATAACTCTGCCCCAAACTACATCACCGACCTAATATCCAAATACCACCCACAACGCACTCTCCGCTCCTCACAAGACCTCTTTCTCTCTAGTTCCCTGGTCTCCTCATCCCATGTCAGCCTCCAGGACTTCGACAGGGCATCACCCATCCTCTGGAACTCCCTACCCCAATCCATCAGACTATCACCTACTCTCCTCTCCTTTAGGCGCACCCTGAAAACTCACCTCTTCAGGGAAGCCTACCCGCCCTCACCTAACAGCTGATCTCCTCCACTCCTCCTACCACTCCATCCCCCACAGCCACTTCCTCCTGTGCCACTATCCCCTCCCTTCTAGATTGTAAGCTCCAAGGAGCAGGGCCCTCGAACCCCTCTTGTATCGCATTGTATTGTTATAGTACTGTCTCATGTATTGTCTCCCATTGTAATGTACAGTGCTGAGCGAACTGTTGCCGCTATATAAATACTGTATTATAATAATAATAATAATAATCTAGGGCATATGGATCTTATTTGCATGTGTTTTAGAAAAAAATAATTTGATCCATGGTAGAAGTTGAGATGAGGTAAGGGGAATAAAAGTGTTTGAGCTGAAAGTATCTGAAAAATTCTGAATTAGGAAGGCTGTGTGATTCCTGAAGGGATGGAAAGCATTTGAAAGCTGAGACAGTAGTCAGCCTATGAAGTCTAACTAAATTTGAGTCTTGCCATGCATGGAAGGAGGCAGGGGAATAGAAGGCTGGAGAGAACAAAGGTTTTTTAGAAAGGAGAGTTATGGATTGCGAGACAAATGAAGTGCAAGAGTAAATTTATGTCAGTCCCATAAAGAAAGAAAGTGGGCTGTGATTTCCATGGGGACGGAGCCATAAGAGGTTTGCAACTATAGGGGAGTGGCAGTCTACCACTTCAATGCCCACCCAAAGAGGAGTGTCATGGACTGGGTGGTGTTTTGGGAGCTGTGCAATATGTCAGCATGCATTTTTTAGTAATTATGGCCACATTCCAGTCCTATTATTATAATTTAAGCAATTGGATGCAAGTTCATTTTGTTCTTCACTATCTTAAAGAGCTTTGTCGTTGCGCCAATACATGGTTCATTCAGTTTTTTCTAGTAAACACTAACACAGATTTTTTTTTCTTAGACTCTGCCTGTTTTGCACTCAGCAATAGCATTCTGTATCCATTACATAAATTCACAAAATTTCTGAACCCTTGACTTGTGACTGAAGTTCAACTTTAATTAGGTCTATACATATTTTAAGTGTTCCTATGTCATGCGTTCATTTTATTTGCAGTGTGTGATTTACTTAATCTAATTTTATTTATGTTTCATTGATTTAATATTATAGTGGAACAGTTTTCCATGGGCTCATGATCCTTATTGCCCTCTGATTAGCTTGCGTATTAATCAGGTGTTCATGAAGTCAACTGATGGCTTCCAGGCGTTAACTTCCTGCCGCATTCCTTCCCTGTTGGCTGGTTGTCATATGGGAGCTAAGAAGCATTTATGGTGTTAACAGACATTGCCTCTCTTCTCAAGACTAATGGAGATGATCTCCAATTGCTTCTAGTGCCTCTGGGACAACATATGTGAACATTGAAGTATTACACTTGCAAGGCAATCAGTGTTGAAGGAGATTGTAGAGAGCCATGAACCAGGTCTATTGCTAGTATCCCAGATTATCGGGATCCTTTATTGTCAGGTGCTGAAGTGACCAGACACTTGTGGGAGGTAGAGGCTCTGTAACAGATAAATAAGTAATCACTTTATAAAACACCTGTGAATTGTAGTATTCTGCTTTTAAATGAGCAGAATCAGCAGAAAAAGAGTTAAGAGTTTCTTACAACCAATGTGAAACTCTACGCTATTGACTTCTTCTATAAGTTATTTACATTGTTTTATTCACATTGTAGACATAAAGAGAAACACTATTATATAATAAAAAAAGAAACGGTAACTGTATATTTTATGGCTTTAATATAAATAACTGCTTTGTCAAGAAGCTATTTAGTCAACAGTAAAATGTATTGGCTAAATACAGTGTTCAGTCATTTCTTCAGTTTTTCCATTCTCAGAAATCATTATTCAGAGAGACTTGCGTTTTTCAACACAGACATTCATTAAACAACTCACAGGATGCCTGATTTTAAAGCTAAAAGCAATAACACAAGTCTACAAAACACTTGATATCTGAAGAACATCTCTGTGGGGTGTTAAAATGCACTTATGATAGGAAGTAATATCAATTAAGAGGGATTTAGAAACATTTTAATAAATGGTTAAACCTAATGTTAGCTGATCTGTAAATGGTCAGCAATCAGATTGCCTCTTCTGGTGATCTCTGAAACAATGGAAGGAATACAAATGATGGTGCTTAATGAAATTACTTTTTAAGTGAAAAATACATTTAAAATTCATTTTCATAACCAAAATAATAGAATTTTGCAGATCTAATGGGAAGTAATTTTATATAATTACAGGAAAAATATATCATACACAAGGCATATATTATAATTGTGTTTCTTCATCTGTGTTTTACAACTAATTTAGGTTTGGAAATCATTTCTTGCATGCAAATATGATATTGTGTTTTCTTACTGGCTCAGCTAAATGGAAAAAAATTTGTATCCCAAAAATGTAGCTATTCCTAAAATATTTTGTTTCGTAGCCTCCCTGGCGGTATTCCGAAGTGTAGCTCGGGGTAAAAGTTTCAGTACCACAAGCGGTAACCCCGAGCTACACTCAGGCTTACCATGCGGCGCTGCTCCATGATCCCTTGATCACATACCTTGTCCTGTGCTCCCACGATGTCACTCCTGCAATGTCCCCAGGCAATGTAATCCGGCGGATGCCGGCATCTGTCATCTGGGTTCCGTCCCCTGCGAGCGATGGAACGTACGGGGGACGGAACGGCGGGAAGAAATTTGAAAATGACAAAAAGTGACATTCACAAAAATCACTAAAATCACATAGTATAACATTACTGTATCAAACCATTTCACATACATTTTGTCCCTAGTGCTTTGTCCTGTGCCCTGCCTGCATTTTAACTGTTCTTTCTGCCTGGAAACTTAGAAATGTCCATGGCATCCAAAAAGCGTCCCTTTAGGTCTTAGACCAGCTAGAGAACAGCGATAGTAAATCAGAACTACTTGCAGAATTGAGTGATAATGATTTGTGGGGAAATTCGTCATCAGACACTGAAAACGATTTTGTGACTTTGCTCAGTGATGTGCAAACTTGGCGCTATATTTCAAATTTCAGTGTTTTTGGTTTGATTATATTATTGAATTAAATTTATTATTATTATTATTTTTAATGATTATTTATTAAATTATAATTTATGATTTAGTGTTTCAAGTTTTATCCTACCCGGGATGTTTACTAGACTCTTGTTTGGACAGATTTCAGTGAGTTATTCCTAAAAATTACAGCTAGAGATGAGCGAAGTATTCAAAAATTCGATTCGACTGATTCGGCGAATTCGTAGAAAAATTTCGATTCGAGTCGAATATATTCGCTGTGAATTTAACTTAAAAAAGGGTGTTTCTTAGGCTTCAGAGAGACTTAATATTAGTGCTGAACACTGTACCTTTAATTTAAATGCCCCTTGGAGTCTGCTGGGGAAGAGAAAAATAATACTGTCAGGCAGTAT